GGAGAAAGGGAAGGGACAGGAGATCATTAACATTAAATGATACTTTCTGGTTTATGAGTGTGATGATTTGAGCTATTTTCAGAATTATTTGAAATAACAGATGCAACAGAACATGTGGTGTGTTTTTTCACTATTACTTTTCATTTTTTATAGTTTCCTGCTTTTTGTGATAATTAGTAATTAATGTTGTCTGTCTTAAGACTGTGTTCAACATAATTATGGAAGTCTTAATATGATTCCCCTGTGCATCTGTCACTGAGAAACAAAATTTCGAATGCCAAATTCTTTAAAATATCCATGGCAGGATTTCACAAAATTTATTTTTAAGGGCAAGGCTTGGACTTTGCTGGCCATGAGTCTCTGTGGCAACTACGCAGCTCTACTGTTGAAGTGCCAAAATAAATACTAGTGTTATGTAAGAAATGTATCTGGCAATGTTCTAAATATCTTCATTAACATGAAGAGGTGATTTGGCCCACAGACTTTAGAGTACTGACATATTAGTCTAAGGAGTATTTTGCAATCTCATGATTATGAAAACTTGTAGGATTCAAGACTATTCTTTTAGTGTCAGGTGAGCTAAACCCATAATATTGTGGAAAGATTCATAAGCATATACTTATTATTTTTACAAGTTGAATATTTAAACAATATTTTTATTTTAAAAATTGAGTTACAGAGAGAAAAAGAGACAGACACAGAGAGAGAGAGATAAAGATCATCTTTTTGTTGGTTCACTCCCTAAATCTCTACAATAGCTAGTGCTGCACTTATCCAACATCAGGATCCAATAGCTACCTCTGGGTTTCCCCCACGGATGCCGAGGCATGGCCTTGAGCCATTCTCCAATGCTATCCCAGGCCCCAAACAGGTAGCTGGATGGAAATTAGAGTAGCTGGGACTTGGGACTTGAACTGGTGCTCAGATGGGATGTTAGTGGTAAGGGAGGAAGGTTAGAATACTGCAGTTCTTAATAATGATTCAACTTACAACTTTCCGAATTTGAAAGATGTGAGCGCTATACCCCTTTGGTAGAATTCATCTTTCAAGAGGCGTGTGTGAGCGTGTGAGCGTGTGTGTGTGTGTGAGCGTGTGTGTGTGTTAAGACTTACTTTTATTTGAAAGGCAGATTTACAGAGAGTGAAGCAGAGACAGACAAACCTTCCATCAACTGTTTCACTCCCAAATGACCACAAATGGCTGGAATTCAGACCAGAAGCTAGGAGCCAGAAACTTTTTCCAGGTCTCGCATTTGAGTGCAGGAACCCAAAAACTAATGTCATCATTCATTGTTTCCCGGGCCATAAGCTAGGGGTTAGATCAGAAGTGGAACATCTGGGACATGAACCAGTACCCATATGGGATGCTGGAACTATAGTGGAAGGATTAGCTAGCTAACCCACTGTGACAGTCCTACATTTACATTTTGAATTTTCATCTTTATCACAGCTAGCAATATTTTCGAGGACACCTTTGCTAGGCTAAATGTTCAGCATTGAAACCTTTTATCTGAAATTCTTCCCCAAATATAGAACAGAAAATTGACATGACTAAGCTATATGGAAGTTCATATGTCAAGTAACTTGTCAGGAAAAAATGTTTTTAATGACAGTTTACTGAGTTACTTGAATTAATCAGTACAATGCCAACTCCAGCTCAGTACAGTGATATTTGTGGTGTGATTGAACCCATAGCCTTATTTTTATTATAGATCAGGGAAATAACATTGTAGTCTTTTTTTTTTTCTGATTTTTAAAACTACATAAAGACATGAGTAGGCAAGTAAGAGTCACCAAAGAGTTGGTTAAATATCTAACAAAAACAAATGTGTGAAAACTTTGGCATTGTTGGGGAATGTATTTGGCTTATCAGTTAAAGTAATTTTGGGGGCACCCATAACAGAGTACCTGCATTTTATTCCAGCTCCAGAAATAGGAGACCTTAATTGAGTAGAAGCCATGGCTTTGCACATGGGAGAATAGGGTTGTACTTCCAGTTCTTGGCTTACACCTTTGGCCTGGCGTGGTTCAGTGAGTGAACTAGAGAGAGAACTCTGTAAGCATGTCTATTATTATGTTTTTCTTTCTAGAATATAGGAAAGTGAATACTGGCAGTGCTTCTAGTATTGGAATAGAGTACACTTGTGTCTCTTCACGCCAACACTGTTCTTATGTTGATTATTGTTTTGAGGTGCCTTTTCTTCCATTATAGAGCAAAAACAAACAAACAAAAACCAGGAGAACACATGAAAAATGATGTTTCTTAGATTAAAAAAAAACAGATTGATGAAGCTCACCGTTTTTCTTTCATTTACGTATATGGAAATTGAAAAAAACATTCACAAAATTACCGGACATATTACTTAAGGCAGAAACTCCACAGTGCTCTACATAGATCATTAACAAGTTACAATTTGAAGTTGTTGGGAACATTTATAAAAATATCCACCCAGTCTACTTATTCACTGAATAATAGTTAATATTTATGCTAATTTTAATCATTTGCTCAATGTGACATGATCAGAAAACAAATCTATGCATCGTTTAAGTATAAATCCAATCTGTTTTCTGCCAGCTTCATGATGTTATCCATTATCATTATTCTAATAACTTTATAACCAACATTTCTGCAATTTAATTAAAGCAAAATGGATCCAACATTTAATAGTTGAAGAACATGCATAATATCAAATGTTCCAAATATAGAATCAAATCCAAAATAATAATAATAGATTCTATAAAAACTGAGATTCTATTTTTGTTTGCAAAGTTATATGTCATTGCATATATAAATCCACAAAAAGATAATTATGAATCAGGTATACATTTGCATATCACTTAATAATTTTTATGTCTGATTTCTTATTTGAGTCTCACATTGTCCAGGATCCTCAACTGTTCTAAGACACATAATTATAATAAAATTGGAGGAATAGGTTTAAAATATGTGTTGCAGAGTATCATGGCCACAGTTAATAGCTAGCTATACACTGTTGTTTTTAAAAATGGAAAAGTAGGTACTGAGTGTTCTTTTGACAAATATTGCAATTTCATATAATTCATTTATTCATTAGCTCTAATTCACTACCCTATAAATACTTTAAAACATAATACTCAGATACATGCAAATTGACTTGCAATTTAAAAGATATTTCAGGGTTTATGATGCAATTTATGGAAAGCAGGAAACAAGATGAGGGAAATTTACTCTAAGAACTTTTCTTAAGATTAGCTGAATTCATAAATAAAGCATTCAGTTTAAGAGCACATTTATCTAAGTTTGTTTCACCTAAACCCTATGGGATGCTTTGTCATGAATTCATTACTCACATAGAGGTATTATGATTTCTGCATCAGCTCCACAGAGTGAAATGTTGGTAGTGAAAAACACAGTCACACTTCAAGATAGTATGAGGACACGATGCATAACATAATGGTGTATATTGCTGTCACATTATTTTCTCTCACATTGGTAGTCATGTTAAGCATATAGTCTAAGTAAATCTTATTACTGATTGCACAAATGAGTAAACTGAAAGGCACTTATAGGAGGAAAAATATTAAAGCATTAGTAGATAAAATAAATCTTCCAATTGTTTTCTTCCTATGTCTATATAATCACCATACCAACATTGTAGATGTTTCCATCAAAAAGTTTAAACAAATAAAATCAAATTTTGCTTATCTAAAATGACGTGAGACTAGCTCATTGAAAACACTATTCTGGGAAAAGAAAAACCAGATAACCATTAACAGAGAAACGGATAAAGAAACTGTGGTACATCTACTGTATGGAATACTACCCAGCCATAAAAATTGAAATCTTACTGTTTCCAACAAAATGGTCCCAGCTGTTAATCATTATGCTTAGAAAATTAAGCAAGTCCCCAAAGACAAATATCACATATTCTCTCTGTTATAAAAAATATATGAAGTAAAATTATATATGTAAATCTCTAAAAATACACATAAATAGATATATGAATTATACAAGGAAGATTAGCATACTAGAAAGTAAAGCAACTGTACAGCACACATTTTTACTCTTGAAAAAAAGTGAAATTTTCAGTGAAACTTAAATGTATCTTTGTATTATAATATTAGGTTTTCTATCTTTTCCTATACTTAACATATCCTAATACATTTTGATGTAAGAGAATCAAGCATATAAATTATATTAATAGATTATACTGTAATGATTAACACAGGAACAAGTGATACGGAAAAAATGGGTAAAGCGGAAAAGGAATGAGAGAGAAGAACCCCTATGCATACAACTGTGTCATGTGGTAACATGGAAAGTAATAAATTAGAAAAGAAGTCTTAGGTCTGGAGTAGATTCAAAGCTATGTAATCCACATATCCAAATTTTAAACAGCTTATAATTTTGTTAGAATTGCATCTATAGCAGTGAGTAGGCTCGATCATTTTCACTGTATTCCTAAAATTATCTCTGAGATAACAGAAACATGGGAAATCCTTACTTTCACTTATCTATGTTATCGTGGAACAATGACCTATTCTTGGGTTTCTAGAATCCATTCGAGTTAAATTCTCATCCCCAAATCCTGTTTCTGAAACACAGTTTGAAGTTAGACTCAGCAACCTCATAATTTCTGTAATTTCATTCTGTAAGTTCATGCTGGCCTGATAACAGGTGAATGCTGATTGAATAGATCCTCTTATATTTACCTGAGGATAGTACTTTTGCAACATTTCTATTTTAAACATTTTTCAATCAGTTTTATTTTATCATTTAGCATATTAAAGTGAGCCTAACTTTGAATAAACATTAGGAGACAAAGATTCTTTTCTGGGCTACAACTGAACTTGTTATTTTAACAGTTGTGCACTACAATGTTTTTAGGTATAGAGAAGAGGTATAAAAATAATGCTCTCCACCTCATAAAAAAAAACACAGTGTTTGAAAAATCACATCTTAAGTTCTGAGAAGTGAGAATGCTGGGGTGCACAAGCAACACTGAAATATTCCAACATTACCTGATGGGGAGATGTGGCGCCAGGAAATGGAAGGCTCTGGTTTCCCAGTGGCCAAACAAGTGAGAGTGACATTGGTTCCTTCATTGATGGTCATATCACTTGAGATGTCATATATCTTCGGAGGAACTGAAATGGCAAAACATGCAATGATCAGGAAAAATATATATAAAATTTTGTTGAAATACGTATGATACAACACAATAAAGATATGATGATGAAAAACACATATGGCTTATGTTCCACATCTAAAATGAGCGATTATCCAGAACCACAAAGACTACACAAGGGTTTTGTTAAATTATTTATTCTATTCTCTAATTTATATATACTTAATGATTTGAAAGTTGGAGTGATAAGCAGAGGGGGGAGCAAGAGAGATAAAGAGAGAAAAATTTCATTCCCTTCTCGTTGTCTCCTTGCCCCATAACAAAAAGTACAAGTCCAGGCCAAAGTTCTGAGTTAGGAATTCCATTTATAGCAGGTGGCAGAGATTCTGGCATTTCAACAATCATTTGCTACCTCCCAGGATGCAACCCACTTTAAGTGTATTGGAAGTAGTAGACTCAATTGCAGGCTTTTTAATATGGTATATGAAATGTGGGCATACTATGCAGCAACTGAACTCACTGCACCATGATGCCTTCCCCGTTCTCCCGTTTTCAGGCAGTGAATATTCCAGAATATCAGAATAACCAACAATCAAAATATATAGCACTGATCAAATTAAAATATGTTGTGTTTTTTTGTTATTTGAATTAGAATAATCATTCTATTTATGCAATCCAGGTATCCTTACTATAATAATGATTTCCCTAAAATAGTGGCTAATGAAGTTGGAAACATTGAAATAAAAAAGTAGCAGAAACATTATTCATACATGGTGGTTTTAAATTAAGTTAAATAAGATGCACAGGATTAGAAGGTGAGATGTGACGCTTGGAAAGAAGTTTTTATCTGTGATTTTTATATCAAGCCCATATATAGGTTGGATTTTTCTCACTGTTGATATCCAAAGCTACACAGATTTTAAGAATGCTAAAGAGCAGATGGATTTTTGTTAGTAATGACTTTAAAATGTAACATATCTGCACTTCAGAACTCTTTAGAGCCTCTGTAACACCATTTAACACTGTTAATTGACAAGTGTAGAGGTCAAAATATTGCTTGTTTATTTACTTTTTTCTAACTTGGAAAATGGACACTGTTACTCCAAAATTTTATCAGTGAATACCCTTTTTAAAATGTTGCCTATGAAATTCCTAAAACCACAATCCATGATTAAGTGTTCATATTCTCTAGAAACCAAATGACCTCATGTAATCCTAAATTGTATGGATATGAACCCTTAGTTGTCTGCTGTCTAGCTCAGTTGTCCAGGATGAGTTAGTTAATTGACCTTAGCCCTAGTGAAAGGAGAAGACAATAGTAGTGCAAACTCTATTGTAAGTAAGTCGATGTATGTTCAAGGACTTACAAACATAGCTGCCATCAGTGTTAGCTATGATGATTAGCTGCTGAAAAGCACATAGTTGATATTTTGCTTTAATTTCAGTGTTGCTTGGTCATTGTGGTGGTGGTGTTACTGACTGATGCCCTGCATAAGCTTTTCTATCTCCCTAAAAATAATTCATGATGCAGTTTCCTAGTTCATACCTAAAAAGCTGACAACTGAATACCTTATTAATTATCAGAAAATAGAAATTTTTGGTTTTTAGGAATCCTTTTAATTTTTCTACTCTTCAAGTTTACTTAAGCAAGAGATATTTTTACAATGATTTTACAAATCAGTTGCTAAAACCTACTGCAACTGTGTATTAAATTACACATACTTTGAATAACATCATTGATTTTGCTGTGGAACCAAACCTCTGCTACAATAAAGTCAAGGATGATGTGATTACAAATATAAAGCATTCGATTATACCTAGTGGTTATTATGACTGAGGAAAAGGCTTGTTGCTAAGTGATATACTATTGTAGCGGTTTCTAAATGACATGGTTTAATTGGCATTAAAAACATATTATCATCTAACTACTCAATGAGCTCTCTTCAGGAAAATAATGAAAATGAAAATCATTTCAAACAGATGACTCTTTTCTGTTCAACTGAAACAGAACAGAAATAAAGACATTAAAATAACATAGGAGGGAAGGGGAGAAAAATTTTCAGAATGTACTGACGAATAGAAGACCTAACCAGAAAAGCCATAAAAATTACAAAAATATTTGGATATTTGAAAGTAAGTATAGGGTTGATACAGTAACCATTAAAGATAGGAAAAATATTTTAGAGAAGACAGATATTTTCACATCCTCCATTTCCATTTCAGTTAAGTAACACATGTCTTACGAGGCAACTTTCCAGAATCAAATCAACAGAGATAAATTTTGTGATTTTTTTCTTTTCAAATGAATTATGAATGACAGCTTATTGAATTCACTGCTCTCTATAATATGGGAAAGCTACTAAAAGCCTCAAAATAGCATAATAGAAATGAAAGTATGGAAAATTGGTGAAATCGGTGATGATCACAGCAGTCATTTTTTTTTAAGATTTATTTATTTTTATTGCAAAGTCAAATATACAGAGAGGAGGAGAGACAGAGAGGAAGAGCTTCAGCCTGATGATTCACTCCACAAGTGACCACTACAGCCGGTGATGTGCCAATCCGAAGCCAGGAGACAGGAATCTCCTCCAGGTCTCCCACGTGGGTGCAGGGTCCCAAGGCTTTGGGCCATCCTCGACTGCCTTTCCAGGCTACAAGCAGGGAGCTAATGGGAAGAGTGGAGCTGTCAGGATTAAAACTGACACCCACATGGGATCCTGGCGCATTCAAGGCGAAGACTTCAGCTTTTAGTCTACTGTGCCGGGCACTCAGAGCAGTCCTTTCTGTCAACAGAACATGGTGGATCCTCAGGAAATGTGTTACATATTGAGCATTCTTCCCACGAGGCAAAGATTAAGAAATGGAAGCAGGAAAACATGCTTCCACTCAGAGTTCAGGGTAAGAGAAGGAATGCTTGTCTGGGGTTTCTGAACGTCATGATTCTGGGGAGCATTCCTGAGTTACAATTTGTTTATAAAAGATGGATGCACACAGGTGGGGAAGATTCTCGACTTCCCTGAATTTTCCTTTTCATGTCCAATATTGACAACATGCCCTGAAGCAACAAGTTTAGAAGAGAGGTATGTCCAATAGTTCCAGTGCTTTCAGAGAAAATCAAGAAAATCAGGACATTTAGAATATCTTAATATTACAGATGTTTGACTTTTAAAATAATTCATTAATCCAGATATATGACTCTTAACATTTCAAAGTTAACTTCTCAGCATTTGAAAATAGTTTTCATAAAAAAGTGGGAAATCAGATTATTGAGTCAAAAGTTTTAAGCCACTAAATAACTACTAGTAATGAAGAAATATTTTGGGTTGCAGTGTGAATTATTTAGGTGCTTATGTACTAATACAAAATAAAATGATGCTATTTGTACAAATATAAAACTATTTAGTATGCAAAAAAGGTAATATAGCATAAGCAATGTTTCTTTGTTGTTACCATAAATAAAATACAACAGAATATAGAAATTCTAAATATCATATTGAATTATAAAACTCTAACTGGAGATACAAGATTTTACAACGTATTTGTTACTGACTGCTTTGTACCAGCCATTAGAAGCTATCTCAGCAACAAAGATTTCAAGTGGATGTATTTTGTAGATTTATTTATGTGAACAGCAGATTTAGTGAGAGAAAGAGACATGCACCATTTTTCCCTCAAAATGGGTACAATGCCTGGATCTGGGCCAGGTTGAAGCCAGGAACCTGAAATTCATCTGAGTTGTTCCATGGGTGGCAGGAACCAAGAACTTGGGCCATGTGCTGCTTTTCCAGGTGCATTATCAGGGATCAGAATCATTAGTGGAACAACTGTGATGAACAAACTGGGGCCGGTGTACGATAACTATGTTGCATGCAGCAGTTTAACCCACAGTACCAAAATGATGGATGTCATGGGTTTAAATGATGTTGGTAGAGTGAAACTAATTTTAAAAAACTCATACAATTAAAGGGATAAAATTTGGAGACTCAAATGTGTAGTCTGTTTTGCCTTTACTCTGTTGGCCACAGATTCAACTACTACTTAACATGTCTTCCATTTTAATCATTTATTTTGTCAGATGATGTGTTTTTAGTTGTATCTATGTGTAACTCGCTAAAAGTAATTTCAATTACTGTTGACCTCACTTGTAGCAAACTGTGGGCATTTTGACATTTCTCAACTGCCTTCCTTACTTGAACCACATTTCATATCATACTCAGAAAAGTATGAGACAGCAGTATTTAGGGAAATTCTACAATATATAGCTAAACAGATATATTTACATGTCCACACATGTGTGATTACTACCAATAATTTGAGTTTGTTAGTGTTTTGTGGAGTTCTCCTTTTATTAAATGAGCAAATATTTTTAACGTCTATAAATAAAAGGTTTTGCTGCTTATCCGGCATTTTTCACAGATCTAACTTTAATAATTTCTTCCAAAACTCAACTATTTAGTATGAGTCATAACCTTTACTGATTTAAGAATCCAACATAAGGGCAACCAATCTATGTATCATATGAGCATATACTGTTTTGCTTCATTAAGTTTCACAAAATGATATATATCACACATGATATTACAACCACTTAGAGAATGTACTTGATAGTTGGTTTCATAGTAAACACAAAGTGTGGAATGTTTAACTGCCTCACTGGAATCAATGAACTGTCCCCCACTGAGTTCTTCTCCTGCTTAGAGTCTATGAAAGACCACGACACATACAGGTCCAGTCTTCTTTAGGCTGTTGGGCTAAACGATGGATTGAACACTTAACTAATCTGAAACACAATTGCTGAAAAATAATTTTTATTGAAACTACGGTGTTCTGGGCACAAAACCTACCTGCTGCATTTGGTTACAGAATGAAAACAATGTTTCATAGTCAAATGTATTCCATGTCTTCACATTCATTCACTTAAGTTAAAAGTTCATTGGTAAACATTTTAATATATCTGTTTGGTTTTCCATGCAATCACTATATCTTTCGCTAAAAAACACTCTGTGAAACAAACAGGAA